ACTCCCAAAAGAAATTGTTGATTGACAAATAAAAAGCTTTTTCTTTACAAAGCATTCGTCTCCAATAATGACCCTTGAGGATTGGTCTAGGAATGCAAAAGAAATTTCACCTTTTAACCGTGATTGGAACTAGGAGCTACAATTCCCATCCGGTTACCAAGAAATGCTCAACAATTCTTATACAAATATCTATCACTTATCATAGTCTAAAGCTCTGGGTTGAATCAAATTTCACTTCTGAGGTCATCCTTGGTTACACTGACAATTAATAAATGTTGCTATCCATCAAGAACGTAAGAAAACTTCAACTTTTATGAAGGGATTAGTTCGGTCCAAAGTTCCCGTGATATACCTAGTAACATGCAGTGCTAGAGATGTTTTCATTTCTCGTTCAGTATTTTGCGTTGTTGCGAAATCGACACCTTGTATCCAACTTCAAAAATGTAGTCGTTTGCCTGTAGCTTTACGAAAACATTAATATGTACCAATTTAACTGCCATTAACAAAGTCAGATCTGCTGTTTACCTCAGCGAGGCAGCTGCGATTCAAATGAGACTCGCATTCTGCGTCCCTTCATGAATAACGCCAACCGTATCGAACGTTTTGTTCACTGATTCCCTGTTTAAACAAAATTTACTATGGAGTCAGGTATCACTTTTCAAACTTTCCCGTATAGCACATGGGATAGGAACAGTGGAAATGGTGCTCCTTTGCGTCCATGTCTCCGCGTCGTACGCAGGCTACTTCCAATCAAATTTTGTAAAATTTCATGCTGCTTTTGCCTTCCGCTTTGCTATTCCTTGAATAAAATAGCCCTAGCTTAGTGTGTAGTTGACCTGTCGGTGACCTCACCTTAAACAGCGCCCCCACTTTGGCGTAGGAGCAGCACAACTTCTAATCTAGTCTTTCGCTCAAAAATCAACCCTTCAGCTCGATTTACAGAACACCCTGACGATATGGTGGAAACTTCAGCTCGTGGAGCGCTGAGTGGTTGGTTTTTCTCATCATCCTATCATATATCAAAAGGCTTTGAAGCTGAATTTAGGCGTAAACGAGCTGGTGAGCTTTCTGGAGTCAGCTTCGTCGTCTGATCGTTCGGCTTTTTCGAAAAGAGCGAATGTGATTTTGGAATGCAGGTAGGAAGTATTTTGAATGAAAGAGAATTTTCCTAAGTAAAACTGACAAGTAATCAAGTGAAAGTGGAATGAAAAAGTGGAAACAGTAGGGTTGCTTCCCCATTTTTGAGAACGGTGGCTTGAGTTCAAATCGAAGATACAAGACTGAGTCATGATGTTGCTGTACATTCGCAGATGACTGAGAGCTACTATCAAAGACAAAGGCAAGACTGAAAAGTCAAAAACATTGAAACTCTTATAGTGTACAGTACACATTGCTCAAACCCCTTACTTTCTTGCGAAATATATTTGATTTGATCGCTGGGAATAGACCTGCTTAGGACATCTTGTGTTTCGTACTTTTGGCCTCAG